AGACAACCACAAGCAGGTCGAGGTGCTTCAAGGTGTGTCTCCCGCATGCAAAATGCATTAGCAACAATAACTCGGGCGCCACAGTTGACACACAGTTGAAACAAATAAATGTTGTCCAGGCGAAAAGTGCAACTAACTGAACCAACAATAAATTGGCACGAGCGAAATCATGCAGCTACATTTTCCAGAATTTCCTATTTCTATATACATTTATTTAAGCTGACCTTCAATAGAAAAGGTCAACACAAGTTCCAGTTATCAGTCGGCCTCGAATTCCTACTCTGTTCTATTAAATTTCTATAAATCGTTTGAGTCAAGCAAATGATCTACTTAATATACTTCACTCAGCCCGACGTTTGGGTCTAGATGCCTGCTCATTCGTTTGATTAGAGGCACATAAAAGCTGAATAGGAATATATATAGATATATATAGATAAACATATATATGCACTTGTTTAACTTGCAAATAGTCCGTGCTCCACTTTGCATAGCACATCAAACTGAATGCATGATTCATGTGCAATTTCTAGTTCAAATAACCAAAACTTTTGTATTTGGGCCAAGAGCCAAGCCTCAAACCAATAGCCCGCCGATCAAATAGACGACCCCCCCCCCCCCCCCTCTTCCCACGCTGCACACACACTTAAGCTATTGTGACCTACACACCTAATTGATATGCCGCACGTGGAGTCAACAATCAAAACTGAACAGCAAAGGGGCGAGGGGGGCAGGGTGAGTTGTCGGCGAAAATCTCCCCGAGGATTTCAGTTTTTATGTCGAAATTATACATTTTATTATGTCATTTTAATGCGACGCCGGAAGAAGAGCTGCAATATCAAGAATAGGAAACGGAGAGAATGTAAACTAAACAGACAAAACAGCGCTCCCACACCCCCCCCCCCCCACGCTCTACTGTCTAAGGGCAGCCTATAAATCAGCAACAGTTTGAAAGGATGTAAAGCAGCAGGACGCCAAGGTAAAGCCCAAGTTATATGGAAAACTTTGCTGCCAATTGAAGAAGAAGCTGCTGCGAGAGGAGCATTACGGAACGAATGCAAAGCTCTGGTGGGCGCAAGTTTTATGACTTTGACTACGGGATGCCAGGACAATTCCCACCCCCCCCCCCCCCTCCCTATCACCCTCTCTGACAGTTTGCGCGTATTCAGTCGGGCACATGTAATTTTCATACCTTATAAAATTGCAAACAGCGCGTAAAAGCGAGCGAAGAAAAGATTTGCTTTTCATATACCCTGTACTCTGTAAACAATGTTTAAAAGTGGGCTGCTCGGTTGCAACAGAAATGAAGCAGATTTCTTGTATATTAGAAATATTAAGAATTTAGACGAATTATGAAAAAAAATATTGTTTATTCTATATTCTAATTAGATTTAAAATAATTTTTATGCCGAGCACAGGGTATCTGCTGATCGGGCAATCGTCAAAAAGGGGGCATTTTTTTTTACTTGTTTTTTATTATTTTGATTTTTGTGCGAAAAAGGATTTGGTGAAAGGACAAACCGTCATGACAGATGTTTTGCCACCACTTGAGGGATGCGAGCGAGCGAGCGAGCGAGAGAGAGAGAGAGAGAAAGAGAGGGAGAGAGTGAGAGCATACGAGGCATTCGTCTGACTGTGCTGCCAAATTGTTTTATGTGTCCATCGATAAAGTAAATCACTTCCCTTAACATTTATTTCGTTTTTCGGTTTTTCTTCATTTTGTTGTTGTTGTTGTTGTTGTTGTTGCTCGGGGTTTTTCCTTTTGCAAATAATTTGCTGCGTTCTTTAACAAGGGTTCGGCTCGTGTTTGACTTGTTTGCCTTTTGTATACACACACTTACCCACACACACACACACACACACACATATGCATACATATGTTTATTTGTATATTATCTGTGCCCTTGGTTAATGATTGGGGAGCTTTGCGTTGCGAAAGACCAATCAATTCGCAGCGACAATTAGGCATTTGTTTTGCCCGCTTTTAGGGGTAAGTTTTGTCATTAACAGCCAAAATCCGCCTGCAACTGTGGGGGGAAAAACTGTGAATGAACCGTATAATGGCAACCGGGTAGAGTGCTAATTAAACTTTTTGTTGCTTTCGTTGGGTGCTTTAATCAACTTACAACTGTTAAACATTTAAAACTTATTCATGGCAAAGTTAGAAAAACAAAAGCTGTTTAGAGCTTTGTAACCAAAGGCATGCCAAACTGACAAGCCAGCTGATACCCTGTAGACAATTGACAATCGTCTTGGAAATTATCTCAATACCTGGTTGTCTTTCTACGCAAATAGACAACAATTATAACAAAAACAATTAAATGAATAAAACCATAAATATTACAAGATTATAACAGGCTAGCAGAACAGATCTAGAGATGGGCGTCAATTAAAAATGTTTGAGTTTGGATTAAGACCGGGTCATTTCTGGCTTTTCATAACAATCGAATTACGTATGATAAAGGTTATACGTTATACAATTAAAATCCGGAAAGGCAGAACCTTTCACATGCAATTTCTCATCTGTGAGCTAGAGCACCGCGCCTCAAACCCCGCATTCCCTTAAGGGACTGCATTTAATGAAAATGAAAAGGCTGCTTGCAGCACTTGCACTCACTTAGCTATTCATAACTGACACACACAGACACGCACACACACACACCCTAGCCCCGACAAATTTAAATAATTCAACGAAAGAAATTCGCTTTTAGCCAACGCCAAAAGCAGCGCGCCAGAGAGAGAGAGAGAGAGAGAGAGAGAGAGAGAGAGAGGGGGAAAGAGCGAGCGCACGCGACGTGAAGTGAGAAGCGGAAAAGCCACAAAAACCAGAAACTTGCAGTCTGTTTGTACGAGTGCATGTGTGTGCGAGTGTGCGAGTGTGTATGTGTGTGTGCCTTGACAAGGGCTTAAAGCAAAGGGCCGTGCGGCGGCACGGCGTAATGGAGATTGCGGCCAACTCGCGCGCGCTTTAGACACACATTAAAATTTCAATTTTAGAGAAATTAAAATTTTATCAGCATAATTTGAGTGAGAGTATGCGTGTTTCTATCGCTAGATGGCGACACCAACAAAATGAATACATCATGGATTCTTTGTTAAAGCTAGAAACATACAATATTCCATCGTCTGCTTGGGGCTGACATAATGCCAGCTTTAATGGAAAATTAACAATTCTTCTAAAATACCTGCAACCTCGAATTGGATATCAAATCGTACTAGTCCCTCAGTATAAGTCTCGGGATGTCTGCTCAAGGGATCTTTCACTGTGCTTACAATAATATATCTAGCTTGAACCTGTATTCGAGCTGTTGAACTTATTTTGAGTTAGATAAAGCTGCTTTTAAAATGTTTCTCTCGTATTACTTGACTCAATTAAACCGATCCAACTATTACAAGCTAATTAGTTTAATAGGAAAAGTAAACGAAAGCCGTTCTGGGCGAAAATCTTGTCGAATAAAACAGGTTTAGTTTGTCAAATTAGATATGCTGGTTTATGCGTTTGTTAACTGCCCTGCCTCTGATGTGGGCGAGGAGCGAGGGGCGTGGCAAGCAGTGAAGCCAAATTGAGAAGTTGGTCGAGTTTTTGGCCCTCAAGGAAAACAGACGGCAAAAGAAATCTGTTATGGTTAAACTTTACGCGCACAGTAAAAACTTTTCGACAAATTGCAGCGAAAAGTGCACACAATGCTTGAGCAAGAAGAAGACGACGAAGAAGAAGAATAAGTAGCAAAAGAAGAAGAAGACGCAGCAGGCGAAACAGTGCGTGGCGACGCCGGCAAAAAGTCTACACACATACATATATAAATGTGTATATGTGTATATGTATTTAAGTATGAAAGAAAAAAACTTTTAGATTTTTCTACTTTGGTCAAGGTGGGCGCTAAATTGGGTACGGGGGCGAGGGCGGTGCTGGCCGGGGTAAAACGGCAGTCAAGAAAACCGCAAACTTGGCAACACTCTGCACGCGCTCTCTCTCTCTTTTTCTCTCTGCCTTCTCTCTCTCTCTCTCTCCCACTCCCATCTCTTTAGCTGTTATCTTCATAGTGCGGCTGTTGCTTTCGCTCTGTTTATTGCCCGGCGCTAAAAGCAACTGGGGACCATTTTTGGTGCTAACCACCCGCCCTCCCCCTCCACCCTCCCTGTCCATGTCTCTGTCCCTCTTATTGTCTGTGCATTTCAAGTCGTAATGTGGGCGTACAATTTTCAATTATACATTTTAGTGGTCGCCGCAGCTCATTGACAGTACAAAAAAAAAAAAAAAAAAAAATATGGAAAATATAAAAAAATATACACACAGAAAAAAAAGGGTTGCCGCAATACGCAGAAATGAGAAAAGTTTTTAGTTGTGGAACTTGAACGGGAATATGTCTGTGAATTTCCGCAGCGTGTGCGTGTGTGTGTGTGTGTGTGTGTGTAATGTGGCTTTAGGGAACCAGCAGCTTGTCTTGTTTATAGTGCACACACACATACATATACACATACATATACACATACATATACACATACACATACATATACATATACATATACATATACATGCGCACATGAAGACACGCCAAAACTGGAAAATCTTTGAAAATACGTTAATATTTTTATCATAATTTTTGTTAATGTTTTAATTATTTTTACTGCTTGAATTCGCGCGAATTTAGCGCATGTATGTGTTGCATCGTTTTGAGGTTAATCCCGTTTGTAAGGTTAGGTTAAACCAGACGCCTTAAAGATTCTCTAAATAATATATGTACAATCTGTACGAATTGATGAATTTTTGAAATTCGATAAACTAAAGATACGCATTCCAGAATCTGTAAATATTATTGTTTGAGCGATAACCCAAAAAGCGGCAAGAGAAATCTGAATTCCAAGCACATTTTTAAAGATAATTTTACTGCGACTGCGAAACGCTTGGCATTATCAGTAAAATACAAAGGTGTAGGGCACATTCAATTGAGTTAAATGTTAAATGAGTGGAGATATAAAGTTGAAAAGTATTCAAAACTTACCGTGGTTTTGTTAGTTTTTTCATATGAATATCCATGTCCCGTTACTGTCGATGTTGTTATTGTTGTTGGTGTTGTTGTTGCTGTTCCACAATTGCTTTTAATGCCCCTACATGAGTACCTCAGAGCTGGGGGAATGTTGGGGTGCGGGGTGGGGACTAATCCAATGTTAATGCGTGCAGCAATAGCAACTCCTGAGAATTTGAGAGCTGCGCCGAATGGCGCCGTTGCTCCCGTTAACTTTTTGCTTTTGTTGTTGTTGTTGCTGTTGCTGCTGCTGTTGTTGTTGTTGTTGTTGTTGATTTTCTTTTGCTGCTGCTCTTCTTGCGGGGCGGCTAAAGCTTACGTTGGCTTTTGGGCACCGCATGAGTTGTTGTTGTTGTTGTTTTTGTTGTTGTTGGCAGGTTGCTGGCGTTGTAGCTGTATTTTTTTTAGTTAACATTTAACAATTAAATTTAATAATAATTTTATTTTTTTAAATTTAGTTTTCGTTATGCTTAATATTGCTCGTTTTGCTGTGATTGATTGAGGTTATGGTTGTATGTTTTACATTGTTGTTGTTGTTGTTGTTTTTTTTTTGGGTATTCTGTTTTTGTTTAAGCACTTGGGGCGCATAGAAAAAATGTTTTTGTTTTGTTTTTTTTTTTTTACATTTTAGAATTTGCACTTGATTTATTTATTTTTAGTATTTTTTTTTTGTTTTTTCTCTTTTTTTTTGTAATTTTTATTTTTTAAAGTAAATTTGCTAAAGTAATTGCATGGATTTTTGTTGTAAGCAAGCTGATAATTTTTATATTAATTTTAATATTCCTAATGTTATTTCGTTGTTATAAGAAATATATGTATGTATGTATGTATATATATATGTAAAATTAATATATATGTATATACGATTTAATTTTTTAATATTTAAAGATTTGATTGCATCGTTCGAAATAACGCACTTTTTATATACTAATTAGCCGAATTTTGTTTCGCTTCTGCTCTGCTTCTTCTACTATGTTACGCATGCATATGTGTATATATATATAACGGTATATATTGTATATATAACTATTGGAAGGCGTACTTGTATAGGCTTTATGAAATTTTTTGCTCATAAATGTTATGCGTTTGTTGTTATTTTATTAAAGCTAATGGCTACAAATTGGAATTATTAATTTTTATTTATTAACATTTTGTTTAACTTATGCTGTTTCTTTTCATAATTTATTTATTTATTATTGCTTTTTTGTTGAGGCGCTTTTAGTTTTTTCTAGGGCTGCAAAAAAAATTTGTATTCAATTAAGCCAAGAAACAGAAAAGGTGTGCCCAAATACACATAAGTTCGTCATACCCAATTTAAAAAAAAAAACACACACACACACACACAACAACAACTATAACATCGACTGCAAGGACAATAACAACGATCGCTCTCGATTCATATTAAACTGCTCTCGCTCTCCCGCTCTCTCTCTTTCTCTCTTTCGTTTTTACCACTCTCAACAGCTGTTAATAATATGAGAAACAGCTACAGTGTTACCAACTATAAATGACAAACTCTGCAAAGCAACAACAACAAACACACAAACGAGGATGTTGTTTTCCGCTAACATTGCTTTACGCTCGCTTTTCAGCTGTTGATCGCAATTGCATTTGCATGGGCAGAGTTGCCAACCACATTGTACGCAAGACGTGGCTGTGAGTTGCCAACGTCTCCGTCGCAGCAGCTGCGACTTTTTTGAGTGCGCGGCTCGCGCTGATGGAAAAACAGCAGGTGTTAAATAAAAATCAAAAAAAAAAAACGTACACACACACATATAATACATAATAAATGCAACAACACAGCAGATGCGCACAAGACAAGCGACAACAAAATGTAATCATTCTCTAGCGATGTATGAACATTTTATGTGCATTTATGCATACACATATATAGATATCCGCTAAATTCTGTCTGTGTATGTGTGTTTGTGTGTGAGAGCACAGAGAATTGCCTATGCTGTCGTGTTTTTTTTGTAGTATTTCATTCATTATGTTGCGACCAGTTGTTGTTGTAGGCATAGGCAGCCCAAAGGGCAACGCACGCATAACCGTTTTTTTTTTGGCGTTTGCTTTTGTGCTTGGCGCTGCCTAACAACAACAACATTAAGAGTGCCTTGGCGGCAGTTCCGTTACGCGCGAGCGAGAGAGCCCGCGATTGAGCGCCAAGTGCCGTTTGAAAAATTTACAAAAAAAAATCAGCTTTGAAGTCAATGCGCATTTCACTTTTTCTGTACCGTTTTTTCTGTTTTTTCTTTTATTTTTTTTTTCGACTGCGAAAGCGAAATTTTTATTTTATGCTGTTGTGGCTGCTGCGACGCGGCTGATGTTGACTTCAATAATTTTTGTTGCTCCTATTGCTTTAATTAATTTGCATAACATTTGCAGGCGATTCAGATCGAAAGTCGGCGAGAGCGAGAGAGGTAATCATAAAAATATTTCGCATTTGTCTTTATGTACATGTATATGTACATATATGTATATGCATGTGTATATGTTTTAATGTACGCGTGTGTTGGTCAACAGGGGCGGCAGGCGACGGTGGCGCGGCGTTGCTCTACTTGCGACAACGACTACGAAGACGACGACCACGACAATTGTGACGCGTTGTTTTTATTGCTTGTCATAAATAATTAATAAACACAACTTACGTATTTTATTTGCTTTTGCTTTTACATTTGCATTTGCATTTGCTTTTGCTTTTTTTCCTATTTGCTTTGCATGAACTTTGCACTTATTGCACTTGTTTAACAATTGCTTCTCACACACTTATTTTTAATATTTTTTTTATATATATTTTATTTATTTAGCATGGCGTTTTGTTTGACGAGCGCGTGTAGATGAAAAAATTCACGATTTTCGCTATTCGCTTTTACATCTTATCCGGCGCGACGACATACTGTTACTGTAAAAAAAAACTGTTAACACTGGCGCCAACGCTAACCGGGTCTGTTACGTTTTGTTGCCAGAGAGCAATGTTGACTCAAATTGTGCATGTTAAGCAGATGTTAGTTAACAGGTGGCGCTCGCGCCCTGCTAAGATTGCCTTGAGAGACACAGCGAACGAGAAAATCTGTGAGAGCCACAATATTCACATACGTTATGCACTGTTAACGAAGATCATACAGTTTACTTGAGTTCTCGTTTTTTTAAATCTATAATTACTGAATTAAGATTGCTTGAATATTTTTTTTAATAACACAACATATGTTTGCTACTTTTATTGCAGCACATTCCATTTTGTGCGCTCTTTCGCTTGCTGTTACAGTATAATTGTGAATGAATGTTTGAGAGCGGGCAGACATAAAGAGAATGAGAGCGCCTGACGTTTTTTTTTTTTGGCTGTAGTTTGTTGTTACTTTTGCTAGCTACTGTTTGTGTGTGTGTGTGTGTGTGTGTGTTTGGTGTGTGGCTGTGTGCGTGCGTATCTGTGTTTGTTGTTGCTAGTATCGTTAGTGTTGCCAATGCATTGGAATTTGAAACCGTGCGAAAATCAACAACAACAAATGCTTGTCTTGTTATGCGTTTTGTTTGTTTGCTGACACTTTTCATTTATTGTTTGTTATATTGTAATTTGATGGCATGCAGCTTAAACAAATACAATGTTGTGTGAGGGATCACACATATATATATTTGTGATTTTCTTGAGACTGTAAATTAACAGCTTAAATAATTTTTATATGAACAATGTCAAAATACTGTTCATGCTCATCTTTTCTTTTGTTTATTTGATGCTTTATGCTCGAATAAATGTTAAACCTCAAATTCTTATCATTGACTTGTTAGGTTGTAGATGAAACAGTATTATTTCACAAATAAATCGCTTTATTTGCTTTTATGAATTAAATCGATCTCAATTTAATCGATTCAATGGCTGCAGTGATATTTTCAGGTTTAACATTTTCCCAAATGTTAAGTTCGAGCTAATGATATTCTCTCATATCAGCATTCAGTTATTGGCATGTCCGTTTCAAACAATTAAAATCTTATCAGAAACGAGTTCGCCATGTGTATGTGAGTCTTGTGTGTGCATGGCACAGCTAATCAAATCAAAAAAAAAGCACAAAGGTAATACCAATAAAAACAGAGAGTAGCAACAGTAAAGTGTGTTGACTTTCATGCTTAAAACAAGAGTTTTTGCTTTTTGCACGTAGAAAGTAAATTAGACAAAAACAAATCAAACTCACACGCACACTCACACACACGGCCTCTGAAGAGAGACTGAGAGCTAGGGAGAGTAAGCGCATAACAGCGAGAGCGGCTTGTCTGACATTTGACGTTTGTTTGTGTGCTTTGCGCATTCACAATAAGCGCGCGAATCGCGCATAGCAAATTAAAATTAAAATAAGGCAACTACAAAAATTACACTTAAAATAAGGCGCACTGGAATTAAGAGCGAACGTGCAAAAACTGAGCAAATTGAGAGCGAGTGTTGGAGAAAGGGAGAGCGAGAGTAGCATCCAGAGTGGATTGTAACGGGGAAGGGGGAAGGAGCAGGGCGACTGTTGACGAACTATTGACTTGGTCAAGCTTTTGTTTATAATTATTTACATGACATTACTCACCTTTTGCTGAACTGCAACGCATTAAAGTTTGTGCGAATTAAAAAAATGTTTAAACATTATTTAACACAAATACTAATGAACACACACACACTCACAGACTGTGACGAGACGACGACGACACACACACACACAACGACGCGACATGCTGCTATTTTTTTTTTGTTTCTCTTTACTCAATGTAGTGTTGTATAGCAGCAAAATTTTTTGTTGTTGTTGTGCTTGGCGCGGCTGTTGCCTTCTACACTTTTAATTAGTGTACGTTTTTATTACATTTTAATCAACAAAATATCGTACGCAAACTGCAGTCAGTCACTCACACACGCTACATCTACACATGCACACGCACGTACTGACACACACACACACACATGAGTGGGGCACGCACACACAGCAACTAGTAAATTCTGCGACACTTACGAAAAATATTTTTTTTTTTGTGTGTGTGTCGCCTATGTTAAACAATTTCTATTGCTAATTCCACTGCACATTGTTTGCACACATTCGGCCAGTTGAGGCACTTGGCTGGCAATTATTGTTTAGTTTTAATTGTTATGCGTTTTGTATTAAATCGAGTTAATATAAATTTTTGTTGCGTGTTTTGCTGTTGTGTGCAACGAGTTTTTTTTTGGTACTGTGTGACCGAAGTGTGCTAAAAATTCAACAGCTGTTTTCTGTGGTAAAATCTGGTCACATCAAGTCTGTTAAAAATCCCAAAAATGGTCCTACTTTGGGCCATCACTTATCGATAAGTGCTATACTTTAGTTAAACAGTGCCATTTTGAGTTTAGCAGATGTTAAGGTAAAGTTATTCGGGTGCTCGTTCACATTCTCGCAAAAATACCCATGATTAGCAAAGATTTAGACTAAATTAGACTATGTGGTTAATACATTTTAAACAAATACAAGCCTTTGCTTGTGACCTCACTTTAATTGTTTGCATACTGAGCCTAACAGTTACATTTGCACTAACATTTAAATGTTGTCCCTAGGTTGTTTGCCACTGTTAATACTCATTTATGTTGTCTTGTTTTGTTTTGGTCGTTTGCCACCTATTGAATAACATAAATTTGATTGAGTTTTTTTTCAAATGTAAACTTAGCTAACAAAACACTTAGTGCGGGCGACAAATGCCAAGATCGTTTAAAAATAATATCATAAAACGAACATGTTACCGACAGTTAACATTTTAGGCAATCTGATGAGCCCCCTGGGGGCCAATTGCAGGCGCGCGCTGCACTTGAAGAGGCGCGAGTTGTACCAGGTGAGTAGTAATACCATAAACTAACGGTAATCATTAATAGACTGTTCCATCCAATAGCAATGCTTTCAAATACTGGGCGTTCACGAATCCGCCGACCAGGAAACGGTTCGTCGCGCCTATTTGGACTTGGTAAAGCGGGTGCATCCCGATGCGGACACCGACGAGGCGAGTAACGAGCGTTTCCAGCAGGTGGACGAGGCGTTCAAAATGCTGCAGGAAAAGTTCGCCAAGAGTCGACGCAACATCAACGAAGACGAGGAGGAGGAAATGGTGTTTGATATCAAGCACACGGCGCCGCAGCATCGCCAATATTTGTCCAATGATGGCATTGGCGTGGGCACGCCCACCCAACGCCAGAAGCAATATCAACAGGTGCGTGCGATGAAAGCACAGGAGCGCGTACTGGAGCATCGCATCGAGAAGGCAGCTGCCGAGGAGGGTGCGTTAATGCGCAAAGGCGGCAGCTATTATGGAAAGCATGCGATCAAGACCAAATACGGCATTGATCGTGTCGTCGAGGATCTGATACAGGAGGCCATGTCCAAGGGCGATTTCAATAATCTGAATGGCGCAGGCAAGCCGCTATCCAGCGCCCAGTCACAGAATCCCTATCTGGACTTCACCACGCACAAGCTCAACAAAATAATGCTGGACAATGGCTTTACGCCGGAATGGATTACGCTCAGTCGCGACATACGCGAGGCTGTCGGCAAATTGAAGCAGCAGATGCGCATCGAGCGCAGCTACTACGGCGATTGGCCCCTGGCCACGGCCCAGGAGCAGGCAGCCTGGCAGAAATTTGTTCAGTCGCATGCGGCCGATGTGGAACAGCTGAACAAAACAATTGATAAGTATAATCTCATAGTGCCCATACTGGAGAATCAATACTTTCGCCTGAGCCTGGACAAGCTGGCCGAATGCATCTTCAAGGAGCCGGACTTGCCGCGCAACGTGAAGCGCCAGCAGGACGCAGCCAAGATTGCGACTGGGGCAACCAGCGAAAGGGGCTTTATGGTAAATCTCTTCTCATTCTTTCTGTAAACTAAATGTTAAATAATAATGCATAATTGGTGATATTAGATTAGATTAGAGCATGCATCGTGATATGTAAATAAAGCATATGCCAAAGCAAGAAAATAAGTTAAATATAGTAAACTTTCTAGTTTATATAAGTTTTTGCCAAACTTACCTATGATATATGTCTTAGCTTAGGCTTAGGCAGCGAGCAGGTCGTCAATTGTTGTAATTTATATATTTTTTAATTTTTCCGATTGCTGCTCTAGGATTTTTCCATATTGTATGATCGGTTCTAGCAGCAACAATTATAGGGTTAAATTTATTTATCAATATTTACATATATGCATATTATAAAATAATCATGTCATTGATATGAAGCTCTACGAATTGAAGAGCTGTCTTAAAGGTTTTGCATGGACATCTGAGCACACTCTAGTTGGACGTGCTGACGTCTTTGGCCCCGCTGGCGGCCAGAATGGCTAAGGCACGTGGATATGCCCAGTGCTCGGCCTGGTGGATACGCTGCGTGAGGCTATTGACATCGTCGCCCTCGAGTATGGGCACGGTGGCCTGGACGAGAATGCTGCCGGTATCGACGCCCTCATCCACGAAATGCACGGTACAACCGGACTCTATTTCGCCGGCCTCGAGCGCCTTGCGCTGCACATCCAGACCCGGATATTTGGGCAACAGCGATGGATGTATATTGATGAGACGTCCGCGCCAATGGCTCACAAAAGGCGCACTTAGAACGCGCATAAACCCAGCCAGACAGACGAGATCGATGCGCGCCGCGACCAGATGACGCGTCAGTTCCGCATCGAAATCCTCACGGCTGCCAAAGTCACGATGCGAGATGACCAGCGATGGTATGCCCGCCTCGGTGGCGCGTTCCAAGCCCAGCACGCCGGCCTTATTGCTGATGACCAGCGCAATCTCGGCGTGCAACGCCTGGGCGGAGTCGCGCGACGCATCGATGAGCGCCTGCAGATTGCTGCCCGTGCCAGAGATGAGCACTGCGACGCGGCGGCGTGGCTGCGTCAACAGCTTTAGGCTGCGCGCCAGCGATGATTCGAAGTTCTTGACCACAACCTGCGGCTTCTTGGGATCGCTGCGTGCGATGACCTCGCCTACGACGACAGCGCGTTGCGTGTAGCGCAGCTGCTGCATAACGGCTTTTACCTGCTCCGCACTGACCACCAGGATGAGACCCAGGCCGCAGTTGTAGGTGCGCTGCAGCTCGAGCGGCGCGATGTTGCCAGCCGCGGCCAGCCAGGCAAAAATCGGCGGCAATGGGTACTTGTTGGCATCGAGACGCACAGCCAGATCCTTGCGCAGCACGCGCGGTATATTCTCGAGCAGACCGCCGCCCGTGATGTGGGCCAGCGCCTTGATGCCATTGTCCGCCTGTGCCAGCAGCGGCGTCAGCGCCTTCACATAGATCTTGGTCGGCACCAGCAGCTCCTCGCCCAGCGTACGCCCGCTGAAGGCTGCCGAATCCGACAGGGTTAGACCCGCTCGTCTGAGCACCTTGTGCACCAGGCTGAATCCGTTGCTGTGCACGCCCGACGACGGCAGCCCAATGAGCATATCGCCCGGCTGTATGTCGTTCAGTCGTGGCAAGATGCCGGCGCGATCCGCTATGCCCAGCGCAAAGCCAGCCAAATCGTAGACCTGGGGCTCATACAGTAGCGATAGGGCGGCTATGTGGACATCTGAAAAGGATTAAAGCAAGAATTGGAAGCGGTTCGCTCGAGCACTTTACAAGAAGCATAAGCAGTACTAAATTCCAAGAGCTTTAAAGCAGCTCGATAAAGCAGCTTGTAGATAAAGTTCTTTATATTCAAAAGCTTTTAAAGCTTCTTGAAATTGGGGTATTGGATGGGATCAGAATATGCTGTGATAGCTCCCAAGAGCTTTAAGACTAAAAAGCTGAAGGTATAAGGCATTTAAAACCTTTTAATTGTCGCTTAAAAATAAGCAAAAGTTTCTGTACATTTGTAAGCTCATCTCATACAACCTTTATCAATATCTCTCCTGAATCCCTGAATGCAATTTTATTTTGGACTCACCCATCAAGGTGCTGTTTGCCTGCGTTGCGCCCTCTTGCACTCCGGCAGCCACCTCGGCGGCCGATAGCGCCTGCCATTTGCCACAGGCATAGTAGCTGGAGAAGCTGAATGGCTGGGCGCCATTGCAGAGTATGTCATTGACGCACATGGCCACCAGATCGATGCCAACCGTATCGTGGCGTCCAGTTTGCTGGGCCACCTTCAGTTTGGTGCCGACGCCGTCTGTGCCCAGGACGAGTATGGGATCCGCGTAGTGGGCGGGCAGGCGTGTCAGGCGGCGGCCGGTGTCATTCTCAAAGCAATCCTTATTCGCAGCGGTTAGGGCTGGCAGCTGTGGCTCCACCAGCTCCATGGGCAACTGTTTGCTGGCCAGGCCGCCGAATGGCGCCGCCAACTGCAGCAGCTGCTCCTTAAAGTTGCGCACCTGGACTTGTGCGCTGTTCTCCTTGCGTGTCTGCAGCACGCCCAGAACCTTGGCGGCGGGCAACACGGTGTGCCACAGCTGACTGGTCTTGGGCAGCACGAGCAGCATGCCAATGCCACAGTTGTGCCGCTCCAGCAACGCCTGCGCGCTCAGCTGCAGCTGGCCTGCCAGCCAGCCAAAGATCTTGGGCACAGGCACCGCACCGAAGTCCAGCCTCACCTCGAAGCTGTCGGGCACCAGTCGCTCCACGTCGTGCAGCAGTCCGTGTGTCACGTGTGCCACGCCCTTAATCTCACCCGCCTGCAGATGTGGCAGCAGCTGTTGCACATAAAGGCGCGTAGGCGTGCCCAGCACCTGAGCCAAGCTGAGTCCATGATCACCGCCGACGGGCGAGCGGTCCTTGAGATTCACGCCAGCAGCGGCCAATTGCGTAAGCAGCTCATTGAAGCCCGCACAGTGCAGTCCGGAGGAGGGCAGACCGACAAGCAAATCCCCAGTCTGATACGTGTCAAAGCGCGGCAGCACCTGCGACTGCTCCACCAGACCCACACAATAGCCAGCCATGTCGTACTGTCCGCGCGCATAGAGCGAGGGCATCTCCGCAGTTTCACCACCTGCAAGCGGGGGGGGGAGAGATATGGAAGATGAGTATTAAATCTGAGCACAAATAGGTCAATTTATTTGATGAGTCTGAAGCTGTAAATAGACTCTATTAATATGTGTAGATATACAGATCCGTTTCCAAGTGCTGACAGTCGCCTTCTAAACTCTTCCATTAGAAACAGAGCGCATTTGACTCTTCTTTTCTTAGATTTCACAGTCGAATCCTTCACTTGATTCCAGTTAAAAATTACTTCCTTCTCTGCTTGGCTAGCCCTGCTGAGCACATCATAACCCACAAATAGTTTTTCCTATCAATTAAGTCTCACCTAGTAGAGCGCAACGCCCATCCCGACAGGCATCGGCCATGCCCTTGACGAGCTGTGCGGCCAGGGGCACCTGCAGCTTGCCGCAGGCAATGTAGTCCAGAAATGCGACCGGCTCGGCGCCCAGTTCCAGCAGTTCATTGCAGCACATGGCAACCAGATCGTAGCCAATGTGATCGTACAGTTCGTTCTGCAGAGCCAACTGTATTTTGGCGCCCACGCCCTGAATAGCCTCAGCGATAACCGGCTGCTTGTAGCTGAGATCCTTGACGCGAAACAGCCCACCAAAGCCGCCCAGGCCGCCCATGACACCAGGTCGCTGAGTGCCGCGCGACAGTGGCTTGATGCGCTGGACCAAGGCGTCGCCCGCATCGATGTCCACGCCGCTGTCCTTGTAGCTGAGCGGGGCAGCCGATGTCCTAGATAGACAGTAAAGAAGGCAAAGGAATTAGAAGGAGAAAAAAATGTAGCCAAGCAAATAAAACGGCAAATGAAACTAATGTTAGCTTTATTCCCGCACCAGCTTGGCTCGCCAACCTCTGGCTTAACTGAGTCGTTTTTTTACATTTACATTTTGAATGCCTTCTGTGCAATATCCGTGCGATATTGTGCTCCATCCTTATCAAAAATGATGCTCGCCGCCAATTTGGTGGCCTGGGCAGCGGCCAGCCTCAGGCTGGCGTCCAGGGCAACGGCGATGAGCACGCGTCCACCATTTGTCACTGGCTGCTTCTGGGCATTAACGGCCAGGCCACTGTGGAAGATCAACTGGGTCTCTGTGTTCTCTTCGGGCAGACCTGCGAGTTTAGTAATATATAGGTATTATATAAAAGTCTACGATAAGTTAACATTTTTAATATAATATAATAGAATCAAACTTCTGCTATATGACCTTCAATTGAGGATTTAACAAAATGTGTTCGAAAGCTATTTTTGTATTGTATTTACTTATTTTAATATAAATAGTTAATGCCGAATTTTTTTCAAAATATCTTTTACCAAAAAGTTGTACGTACACAAAAATGATATATGGATCCAATGAAATCAGATTTATATATATGAGGAGCTTGGCGGAATTTATAAAAGCCGAGTTTGGTCAAAAAAGTTTTCGAAACAAGGGTCTACTTCCTATGTCGGCTATTTGATAATGTGGACCGATCCGAAAGAGTTTCAAGACAAGATGGTTTTAAAACTGAGAGACTAGTTCGCTTAGATACAGACAGACGGGTGCATTTTATGGGGTCGGAGATATCTACTATGTGTGACACATTTCATGGCGACATTATAATACCCTCTACCGGGGTATATGCATATTTTGCAGAGTTGTATAATCACCTAGTATGCGGGAACCCTTGGTGGACGTTTCCGGATAGCCAGCGCTGGCCATGATCACACCGACAGCAGTCAAGCTGCTGCGCCATTGCAAGCTGATCTTGTCCAGCTTACCGGTGCAGCAGGCCTGCATCACCTCATACAAATCGGAGTCCAGAAGCGGAAGTATTACCTGCGTCTCGGGATCACCAAAGCGACAATTGAACTCCAGAACGCGTGGACCATCACGCGTCAGCATGAGGCCAGCATAGAGCACGCCCTGGTAAGCGATGCGTTCCTGGCCCAAGCCCTTGATAGCACGTTCCAGCACGGCGCGCTGCACCAGCTCCAGGGCCTGCTTGCTAATCAACGGGCAGGGACAGTAGGCGCCCATGCCGCC